CAGGGCCGCGCCCTCACCCGGCTCCGCCCCGGGCAGGTGTCCCGGGGGGTCTGGGCCCAGCCTCACCTGGGCGCGCCCCCCCCAATGCCCAGCACGCTGGTTGCCGCCCCAGTGTGGGGGTGCAGGCGGCCCAGCCCCGCCCCCTGCTCCCCGGCCNGGCCTCACCTGCCTGCCCCCCGGCCAGACTCTGAGAAGCACTCCTCCCCGTCCAGCCTTGCCCAGGAGGGCAGAGAGGACCCTGAGGCGGGGAGGGGTGGCCACCGGGAGTGCTGGGCATGGCTCTTGTCCTCTTGAGGGAGGGATTGGAATCAAGAGACAAAGTGTAGAAAAGAGCAAGAATCCATTGACCGCAGGAGAAATATGTTTAGGATGGTGCAGCGAGGAAGGACCTAGAAGCAACGGGAGAGCCCGGCTGGGCCACCTTGGCTCACCGCGAAGTCGGGGAAAGGGGGGCCTGGAGACAGGTTCAGGGGGTTAACCCCAGAGGAGTTGCCACTGCCTCTTGCTCCCCTGNAGGAGAAATATGTTTAGGATGGTGCAGCGAGGAAGGACCTAGAAGCAACGGGAGAGCCCGGCTGGGCCACCTTGGCTCACCGCGAAGTCGGGGAAAGGGGGGCCTGGAGACAGGTTCAGGGGGTTAACCCCAGAGGAGTTGCCGCTGCCTCTTGCTCCCCTGGTCGCAAGCCTCGTTGGGTCCTTTAGAGGGAAGAAGAGGAGAGATGGCACCAGCGTGGTCCCCTGGTTGGGAGAGAGCACATGGGGACCTTTGTTTTCAGGGGTTTTAAAGGCTGGGCATTTAGGGGAGGTCTTAGGGGCAGATCAATAGAATATCAGCTTTATGTCAGTGTACCAAAATAAGATTTATTCTCTTAATTTGTACCTCCTTGGATGTGGTTGGCAAAAGGCACTAGTTGGTTTTCTGTCTCCCAGAGTGGGGTGATTTAAGCCATCTACCCCCTGGGAGTGCAAACCATTTACTCTCCAGTGTCCCTGGTTTAGGGAAGGCAGGGTTTACTAGGTGGCTGCAAACTGCTGTTTATCTGTCTCAGTTTCCTAATTTATCTTGTCTTGGGGTTTTTCCAGCTTTATTCCATACAATAACAATAGGTGGTCTTGGGCAGGGTGGCCTGGAGGGATGGGTGTGTGCACAGGCTGCCTCAGGGTCCCAGGAGGCAGGGCGCAACCCCCAAGGTGGAATGAGCAGTGAGTCCCCCAAGCCCTTGCTGTGCCCCAGCCAGAGAGTCTTTATTTATGAGCCTGTATGTCCTCCTGGAGTAGAATTCCCAGAAGTAGAAGGGGAGAGGGGTGGTGCCCGGTTCCCTTTTCTGGACAATTCGGAAGGGCCCAGGCAGGCCTGTGGCGCCCCAGGGTCTGAGGGGCCTGAATCTCCAGTCGAGCTGGGCTAAGAGGAGCAGTCCGCACCCACACTGGAGGATGGGGGGCTGTTAGACGATGGGGGGGGGGCTGAAAGAGTTGGAGAAGCAGGAAAAAGTCAAAGTAATCTGGGCTGAGGGATGTGGGTGCACAGGGCCCCAGGCAGGACTCCTGCAGGGGCAAAACCTGCCCGGGAGCTGGGGAGAGTGGGGAGGAGTTCGGAGGATGGGATTGGGATAGCAGCAGACGTCCTTGCATCAGGGTGGAGACAGTCAGGGGGGGCTCTGAGTCTCAGTAGCAGGTAGAGATGGACTGCCAGTGGGTGTCAGGAGGAAGCCAGGAATTGGGGCACCCTTGGGGGCTGGTGTGCAGGGATGATTGCTTTGCACCCTGATGATCCCTGTTGCTTTGCAGACGGAGACCCTCCTGCTGCAGGCAGAGCGCCGGGCCCTCTGTGCCTGCTGGCCCACCGGGCGCTGAGGACCCTCTCCAGTACTGCCCCTCGTCAATAAACACCCAGCCCTGCACGCCTGTGTCCTGTCTCCCTGCTCTGGCCACCAGAGCCCACCTGCGTCGTCCCCAGGAGCCCCTCATTGGGCCCCTCTCTTGGCCTTGATTTCCCCAGCTCAACCCTCTTGGCACCTGTCCTACAACAGTGCCAATGCTGAGCAGCAGCGTGCACACCCCGCCACTTGCGTGGACCTGCATCCACAGGTACTGTGGCTACGGCACGTCCACCTCCCAGGCACCTGCTTCCTTGCCTGCCCAGGACGGGGAGCATAGAAGCTGGCTTGGTGCCTGGAGCAGCGGCCCAGCCCGGAGCCCCTGCACTATAGTGGGGTTGGCTGTCTTCGACGCTCCCTGGAGGCTCAGGCAGTGCACCCTGCAGAGCAGAGCCTGCTGTGGCCAAGGAGGCCTAGTCTCCTCCCAGAAGGAAGGGCTGGGACCCTCCCCTCAGCCTCCACCCTGCCTGCTGGGTCCCTTCTGCAGCCCCCAGCCCAGCCCCCCGGGCACCAGGGACACCTGGGTGGGGATTGGGGCCTGAGGCAGGCGTCACACCCATGGCAGCAGCTGGGCCCGCTCACACCTACACGGGTGTGTGCTCAGCGCCAGGCAGGAGGTGTACAGGGGAGGCAAGTAACTCCTCCCCCCCTCTTCATTTTAAAGTCTTTATTATGAAAGTAAAGCTTTACAATACATAGGAGCACAGGAGGGCAGTGACTGGGAGTGACCGCTGTGGGCCCTCAGCTTGTCTGGGGCTTTGAGTCTCTGGTTGTGGCACCTCAGCATGGCACCTGTGCCACCACCCCAACGGGTAGAGCTGGACGTGCCTGGTCTGCTGCCTGTGGACTGCCCAGCTTTAGCCCACAAGTCCCCAGCCTGGCCTGGCCTCCAGGTGTTGCCCGTCTCTGTTACCAGTATGGCCTGTTCACTCAGATCCTCTCTATGCCCCAGCAGGACCTGCCCTGGCCTCCCCCACCCCCACGGGCCTCCCAACCGGTGACCTGTCCTGTTGTCAGTGATTTTGTGCCTGGGAGCCCCGGGGGTGCAGGTGTCAGCACCACAGTGAAGAAGCCAGAGTCCTGCCTTCGCCCAGGTGGAGGCCGAGCTTGATGTCTGGTGGCCATGACGCCTGTGACCCCACAGTGGGCCAGAGACACTGGAGAGGCCCCGGAGCTGTGGGAGGCCCAGCGTGGCCCTCGGCCTGGGCATGAGTGTGGTGTGGTGACAGGGACAGGGATGCCCCTGTCCTGGGGCCCAGAAAGGAGCAGAGGGGCAGCGAGGCAGGTGCCTCTCCCGTAGGGCACTGTCTCTGCTCGCGTCTGACTGGTTGACCTGTCCCGGGGCCATTCCTGGGTGCAAGGGCGCCGGTCGCAGCCTGTGTTCTGGGCTTGGCTGCCAGATTTAGCAAATGCCAACACCGCCAACGGATGCTCTTCAGTGTAAAACCAAGGTGTTTCTAGGATAAGCACTTTTTAGTCTAACTATATCCCATGCAATGCTCGGGACGTGAATTTAGCTGGGCAACCTGTATTTGTGGGCAGCCGTGAGCCCTGGCACAAATTGGGGTTTCTATTGATAAAAAAGATGGGGACAGTCCTGGCCAGTGTGGCTCAGTTGGTTGGGCACTGAGGTCACTGGTTCGATTCCTGGTTGGGGCGTGTGCCTGGGTTGCAGGCTCAATCCCAGGTAGCAGGCGCGGGAGGCAGCCAATCGCTGCTCTGCTCTCCCTTTCCCTTCCTCTCCCAAAATCAATAAAAAAAAATTTTTTTTGAAAAAAAGGAAAGACAAGATGGGGACAGCTGAGAACGCCTGTCACAGAAAGCCTGTCGGGGTGGTAGGCGGGCGGGCGGGGTGTGCGTGAGGGAGCAGCGGGTGGTCCATCTGGCGAGTGGCCCCGCAGGTGCAGGGGCAGGAGGGGTCAGGAGGGAGTGGGGACGTCCTGATGGCCAAGGCCCCTCAGGAGCCTTGGGGGGTTGAGCAAGCAGGGACTCGCTGTGACATCGGAACAGGACGCGGGCAGAGAGTGGACCCTGGGGTGGCAAGGACAGAATGGGCGTGAGGGGGGAGCATGCAAAGCAGTTGGGTGAAAGGAGAGCCAGCGGGATGGGCCCTTCGGGGGGTTGAAAGGGTGGAGGGGAGGAGGGATGGGTTTGGGAGAAGGGAGGACAGGTCCGGGCTGGTATGCTGGGCAGAGAGCTGGAAACAGGCTGGGGAGAGAAGGCGGGACGGTGCCGGCCGAGACCCCTGAGGCCTGAGTGACCAAGGAGAGGTGAATGCTGAGAGGGGGAGAAGAGGGACCCAGAGGGGACCGGGCGGCCAGGAGGCAGGGCAAGGCCCTGGGAGAAGGGAGGGGTCAGCATGTCACATGCTGCTGAGGTCAAGCAAGGCCCCAAGCTGGACCACTGGACCGCTGCCTTTGGGCTCTCTGGTCATTGCTGACCTTGACAAGAATGGGGGTGGGGGTGGGGAGGGCCCAGATGGGGGTTCTCTTGAGGAGCGGGAGCGGAGTCAGCACCCATAACTCTTTTTTTTTCAATCCTTGCCCAAGGATTTTTTCCATTGCTTTTCAGAGAGTGGAAGGAGGGGGAGAGAGAAACGTCGATGTGAGAGACACCAGTTGCCTCCCCCACGTGCCCTGACCAGGGCCAGGGATCGAGCCTACAGCTGAGGTGCGTGCCCTGGGCCAGACTCGAACCTGGGACCCTTCAGTCCGGGAGCCTTCGCTCTAAGCACTGAGCCAAACCTGCCAGGGCAGCACCCATAACTCTTGCAAGGGGTTTGGCCAAGCAGGTGGCCAAGGCCAGTGGCATCCAGGTTCTTTCCCAGAGCCGGGACCTATCATGACTGCAGGTAAATACAATTCTCAGCTTGGCTAAGCGGCGAACTGGGAGTGCGTTGTCCGTGGGACGTCCCTCGTTTTCCCTGGGCTTTAAGTGGGCCTACTGTCCCCACGTTCTGTGACTTTACCTCATCCTTACAGTCTCCAGCAGCCAAGTTATTCCCCCCTGTCCCCTTGCCCTCCTGCCCCAGCCAGCTGGGCATCCCCAGCCCACTGTCCACCCTTCAGTCTTCTGCGTTGGAACTGCCGTTTCCTGGGCCCCAGGTCACCTCCCTGTTGCACATGTTCACGGAGCTTCCTAGAAACCAGGGTGGTGAGTGACCGTTCTGAGCCGGCCGGTCTGAAAGTGTCTTTCGCTGGCACATTCGGTTCATGGCCACGGCTGCTCCCCCTCAGGGGCTTTGCACCTGCTCCATCTGGCCGTGGAGTCACCACCTGGCCTCCTCCAAGACCCACCTCGAGCTTCAGCCCAGTATCCACCTCACTTCTCTTGGCTGGTCCCTAAGGGCTGCTGAGTGTTCATCCGTTAGGGGCCCTGCAGTCAGCTGACCTCCAGCTGCCTGAAGCAAGTGGCTGTCAGGGCCTCCTCCCTGGGATGCCCTCCCGAGGGCCAGGTGTCATCAGGAGTCTCCATCAGTAGCCTGGGGAAAGAATCCTCACCGTGTCTCATCTGCTCCTTTCCCAGTTGTAGAGACTGTTGGTTGCACGCTGGGCCTTCTGATCTGGTCCCGTTTTTCTTCCCATCTCAGGCCTTTTGACTCACTTCCTCCAGCGCTCCCACTGGCCTCTGTCAACCTGCCAGTCCCATTTCCCAGACCCCCTAGTTGTGCCCCTGGGGGAGCGTCTCTCCCTCTGGTTTCCAGTGGCAGGTGCTCTGAGGCCCCGTGGACCTGCCTGTGGATCTGCCTCTGCAACCTGGGTGGGGTCTCGCTGCTGCTCACACAGCCCCTCACCTGGGAACGGGCGGAGCTCTGGCAGTGGTGGTGGCCCCGGGGTGGGAGGGCACCGGGTGGAATCTTGGGGTGGTCTTGTAGGCGGTGGGAACGGCACCGAGTGTTACTCTGGTGGGGTCACACTGGACCTGGGTTCTGGCTAGGAAGGAATTCAGAGCCAAGACCTGAACCATAAGAGAACATTTATTTGGAAAATCAGAGGTGGAAGAAGTAATTCCTAGAAGAAACGGGCTCAGGAAACAAGTTATAGAGGCCAAGGAAGGGCCCTTGGAGCTTGGGAACAAGGGAGCTAAAGCTAAGGCGCCTGGGGGGCAGGAAAGGGGGAAATGAAAGGGGGGGAGGGGAAGGAAAAGGCATTGGGTGGCCCCAGGAGGGAGAGGCTCTGGGTCCTCGGGGTCCTCAGGGACCCTAAGGGTTTTAAGGGGGCAGGTTTTAGGGGAGGTCCATGAGTAAGATCTCGTTATAATAGTCAGCAGTTTTCCAGGTGCGTCCTTTCAGGGTTGTGGGCTCCACTGAGTGATTAGTGGCACCTGGGTGGGGGTCATTACCCAAAGCTGCTGGCCCCGAGGGCAGCTGTGGCTGGTTTTGTTGCTTTTCTGGGCCTGGAGCTGAAATACAGCGGAGGCCGAGGTGTTATCTGTAGGGAGGAAAGTTCAGGGGATCCAAACCCCAAGACCAGTGATATACTAGGGAAGGAAAGGTCACCCTGGGGGCGAGGTCTCACTCCAGGCATCCAGGGCTGTCCTTCTGGGTGACCTTCTGTACCTGGCCCATTGGCCTTGCTCTGCTCACGTCTAACTGCCTCTCACAGCCTGGCAGCCTGAGGTCTCAGAAGCAGAGGAGTGGGCTGGGTTTCGAGGACAGGTGGGGGTTCAGAGGCAGGGCGCTGGGAGAGCAGACTGGCCCTGAACAGCCCAGCCTTGAGTTTTTTCTCTGTAAAATGGGCTCCCGATGTGCCCTGAGGGCACAGTCTCCCTGGGGTAGAAGGGAACCCCATGTCCCCGAGGCTCCGCTTAGTGTCCTGGGGCCGCCCTGCTGTCTGCAGTCTTCCCCTTCGAGGTCACCCCCATTCCAAGTGCGTTAAAGCCCAGGCCTGGAGTCTCCAAGACCTTCCAGGTGGCTGTCCCCGGAGTCCAGCTCTGTCCCTTCCAAGCTGAGTCTGGCTGTCCCCTCCCCATCTCACCCTGGCATTCTCGGGCCTCCCTGGACCAGGGGGCCGGAGCACTGGGCTCACCGGGGCATCCTGGCCTCTGGGGGCTTTCCCGGGACCTGTGGGGGCTGAAGGTGAGGTCGAACCACCTGGAGAGAGGGCTCGCTACAGACGCAGAACTGAAGAACCGCCAAGGCCGTGCGGGTGGGAGCCCGGGCCCCTCACCAAGAGTGAGAGTGCTCCCCAAGTCCCCGATCTGCCCCTCAGAGCCCAAGGGCAAAGCCCAGCCTCCCCTCCCCTCTCTGAAGCCCGTGGCCCTCTAGGCACTCGGGGCGCCTCCCCAACTCCTGGTTTCTCCTCCCTGATCCCTGCGCGCCGCCGACTTGGCTGGACGCCTCCTGCCAGCCGTGTGCCAACCTCAGGACACTGCGGGTCTGGTCGAGGTCCGCGCTCAGGCGGCACGTGGAGGGGGCGCCCACGGACGCGGGGCCGCTCGGAGGTTTTCGGCGATTCCACGTCCGCTCGCCTGGAAGGTCACGGCCAGGCCCGACGTCCCGGCCGCTG